AGATAGGGAGGAGGTGAGATAGGGGAGGTGGGGAGGGAGGTGAGATAGGGGGAGGTGAGATAGGGGAGGTGAGATAGGGGAGGTGAGATAGGGAGGGAGGTGAGATAGGGGGAGGTGAGATGGGGAGGGGAGGTGAGATAGGGGGGAGGTGAGATGGGGAGGGTGAGATAGGGGAGGTGAGATAGGGAGGTGAGGGAGGGGGAGGTGGGGGAGGTGAGATAGGGGATAGAGGAGGTGAGATAGGGAGGGAGGTGAGGTGTATTGTTGTGTCATGCTGATTTTTGGGTCCAGTCTCTTGAGGTAGTTGTCTGGGGGGTGTTCTCCTTCGTCTTCTTCCTTCTTCTTCTTCCTCCTCCTCATCATCATCATCTAGCCCTCCTCTTACTCCTCCTTCTTCTCCTCAATCATCATCATCACCCCCCACTCCCTCCCTCCCACTCCCACTCCATTCCTCCCTTCCTCCCTCCTTCCCTCCCTCCCTCCCTGCCTGCCTGCCTGCTTCCCTCCTTCCTTCCTTCCTTCTTTCCCTCCTTCCTTCCTTCCTTCCCACCCCTTAACAAGCTGACTCACCACCTGCCACAGAACACAATTCTCTCTCTCTCTCTCTCTCTCTCTCTCTCTCTCTCTCTCTCTCTCTCTACCAAGACAACAAAAACTCCTCCCTCCTTCTCCTCCTCCTACCTGTTATCACCTGAGCAGTAGATATACGGGCTTAAGATGTCATGTTTACGTCTGGCGATAACACCTGAGGCAGCCATAATGGATTGTCTTACCTGTGAGTCATTCCTCCCCCCCCCCCTTGCAGCTTACTTGTCTGTTGCCTGATTAGTGTGGGTTCATTCGTGTGGGTTTATTAGTGTGGGTTATGCATTCGTGTGGATTTATTAGTGTGGGTTATGCATTCGTGTGGGTTTAATCGTGTGGGTTATGCATTCGTGTGGGTTTATTAGTGTGGGTTCATTCGTGTGGGTTATGCATTCGTGTGGGTTTATTAGTGTGGGTTATGCATTCGTGTGGGTTTATTAGTGTGGGTTATGCATTCGTGTGGGTTTATTAGTGTGGGTTATGCATTCATGTGGGTTTATTAGTGTGGGTTATGCATTCGTGTGGGTTTATTAGTGTGGGTTATGCATTCGTGTGATTTAATTCAGGGTTGGTTTATTATTATCATTGTAGTTTTATTCATTATTGTAGGATTATTCATTTGTTATAACTTACCTGGATGTTATCATTATCATTATTGTCATTGTTGGTCATCGTAGCTTCTCAGTTGTTCTTGCCTGTTGTTCATTGTTCTTATTCATTATTCTGGTTTGTTCATTCTCCCAGATGTTTTGTATTTCCTTCTGGCCATAACAGCTTTCAATTGCATTCATCTTTCTCAGTCTCTGCCTTCATCTGTTCCTTCCTTCCTTCCTTCCTTCTTTCACAGTTTGTAATTTCATTCCTCTATCCTAGTCTCTACCTTTAATATTTTTTTTTCTTCTATCCGCACAAACAACTATCCACACTGGGTTAAAATTGGATACATGTGGATAGAGAAGGACGTACTCGGCCCCCTCACCCACCCCAAGATCACGCGCACACACACACACACACACACACGCAGAATGATATACAGACACAGACACACTTACACAGGCAGACAGACACACAGACACACTTACACAGGCAGAAAGACAGACAGACAGACGCACAGGCACACTTACACAGGCAGAAAGACAGACAGACAGACACACAGACACACTTACACAGGCAGACAGACACACAGACACACTTACACAGGCAGACAGACACACAGACAGACAATAAAAGGGTTAAATAAAATCCACCATTAAGGAAATTGTTCACTTTTATTAAACCATGATACACTGATACATAATTCAGACATTCAAATGGTTCTAGAGCCCCGACACTTAGTAATGGTCTATACATTGAGGGAATACAGTGTTATTTACACCTTGAGTTTATAATCATATGGTATTGGAATGTACAGTTAGAACACACGAGGAAAATTGCGCGCGCTACGTGACGTCATGGTTTTCACACGCTAGGTAAACAAAAAAAAATTTTCCCGTGGGTGGTGACGTCACAGTAGTCATATGTTTGGTAAACAAAACCCGTGGGTGGTGACGTCACAGTAGTCATATGTTTGGTTAATAAAACCCGTGGGTGGTGACGTCACAGTAGCTATACGTTTGGTAAACAAAACCCGTGGGTGGTGACGTCACAGTAGCCACAGGACAAGTAAACAAAACCCCTCCCATGGGCCAGATGACGTCACTACCGACACACCATTGTTTTCTCTGCAGCGTCCAATGACAATCGAGTATTTCTCGCTTGCTCGCCGGCTTAACCAATAGGAAATTTTTTTTTTCATTTTTTTTTATTATAAAGACCCATTAATGTGGTATGTACAGTATATAACGCACTCACAGGTATACAGGAAATAGGTGTTGTTTCAATGGTTTTACTGAGAAGAAATAATTTTGTAAAACTCGAAAAAAAACAGATTTTGTGTTTTTTTCCTTCTTTGCAGAAAAATCAGTTTCTTTAATTAGAAAAAACATAGAGTTCATATATATATAAAAGTTGTTTTATAATGCAAAATAAATTAGTATTTTGTAAATTATAACAACAAAACGCACATCATTTGCATACGTGTTTTAAAGTGTAAAAAAAATCAGTGTTTTTTGTAAATTCAACTCCAAAGGTAATTAAACTATTGACTACCGTAAATAAATGTAATTAACGCTTCATAATTAAGTTAAATTAACATAGTACACATTGTTAACTTTAACCCGAGTTGAGTAATGATAATTGTCTACCTGTCAATAGTATATAGTAATTAATTTTTTTATAACAGGTGAATTAAGTGAGGTTAATGAGATGACTTAATCCGTAGGTGGGATTACAGGTAAATTAATCCTTACTTATAAATAATAGTTTAATTAATCCCTGTGTGTGGCTTAAGAATAAATCCCTTTTACCTGAATGATTAATCCGGGTTTGTCAAATATAAATCCACATGAGGGAGAAATTAATCCGCCTGTGACTGTAAAGTAAATCCATCCATGTGTAAAAATAAATCCACCTTGATAAGTAGAGTTAATCCACATACGTAAATGCAATAAATCCAGGTGGTAAATTAAATCCACCTGATGTGTAAGTTAGTCCCCAGGTGTACAAATCAGATTAATCCCGTCGTGGACTCCAAGGCTAAAAAAATAAGATTAATCCACAACTGTAAAGGAGATTAATCCAAGGACATAGTGAGTAACAAAGGGGGGGAGGGGGATTTATGTGACTCAGAAAATCCCCTTATATGTATACCTTGTGGATTTATATATTTCAATGGTTTATATTGATCTATATACAAGAAAGGGATTATATATACATTTTGTGTATATCAACTATATACATTGTAACTAATGTTTATTATTAAAGTAAAGGGGAGGATTAAATTAGGTCGATACATTTGTTTATATATATATATATATAAATTACTTGTTTATATTGTGTTCTTTGTAATGTATATGGAAATTTATATAAACAAGTGGGTTTGTTTGTTTGTTTGTCACGTAATGTTTTTGTTTTTCACAGACGAAATCAGTGGGCTCTCTCTCTCTCTCTCTCTCTCTCTCTCTCTCTCTCTCTCTCTCTCTCTCTCTCTCTCTCTCTCTCTCTCAACATGTATCGTCTTTAACCAGAATGTGTTGATGTGGACTTGAGAGAGGGGGTACTGACAGAGCCTTGATGGGGCCTTGAATTAGACTTAATGGGGGTTGAAGAGGGTCTTAATAGGGGTCGAATTACTCTTGATTGGGGGAGGGGGTGATGGGGTGTTGATGAGGGAGGGGACAGTTGAAGGGGGTGTAATAAATCAATGACCTATGGACCATCATCTGAATTGAAGGGGAAGGAAAAATATCGCCCCCTTGACGTGGTGGAAATGCCAGAGAAATTGTAACAGAGAACCAATTAGATCACCTGAAGATTAGACACCCCCTCTAGTTTAGTTTATCTGGTGATTAGGTGTTCTAACGCTACCTTGGGTTGTTAGGGTAGCGTATGATTAGGTTAGGTTAGGGTACTGTAGTTTTGGTTAGGGTACCGTTAGGTTAGGTAAGGAAATTGGGGTAGGTTAGGTTAGGTTAGGTAAGGAAATTGGGGTAGGTTAGGTTAGGTTAGGTTAGCTTCAGGGTGTCTGATCATCAGGTGACCCGGGTTAAGTTGACCACCTGTGCCCAAGAGATTTGACACCACACCCAAATCTGTGACCTTTCCCTCAGTGGGTCAGATTTCACGCTTGGTGGAGATTTTTAAGAGCGAAATCTGTTGTGTTTTGGTCTCGTAATCTGTCTTTGTTTATGTGGACTGATTAGAATTGAAGGATTTGTTGATCTAATCTGTATTTGGTAATGGGGGCTGATTGGAATCTTGTCTTGGGGGTCTGTGTGAAAGATTGGGTATCGTAACCTGTATTTGTTTACGTGGGTCGATTGGGATTGAAGGGTTGTGCAGTGTAATCCGCCTTTGTTGATGTGGATTGATTGGAAGTGAAGGATTGACGAGAGTAAATCCACCATTACCGCCACTGAATGATGAAATGTAAAGGATTCAGTCAAATAAATCCCCCTGTAGCGAATACAAAATAATAGCTATGTAATAAATCCCTTATGTTAGGGATTTAACCACGAATGAAAACAAAATCCAACGTTATTGAACGATCTGGACGCGTAATAAAAAAACTCTGTTCGATTTTTTTACAGAACACAAATCGATTAAAACTGATTGGAAATTTGAATGAGTTTCGAACACCAAGATGATTTGGGATTGGGTTTAAAGTTTATAGGACTGATTGGAAAGATTGGAAGTGATTCGTGATTTATATGGTGTTGTTTTATATGTGGAGGGTTAATGTAAGGTGGTATTGGGGTCGTGTTGTATAGGTCACTGGGGAGGTGTCGTAGGCTTGGGTGTGTGACGCTAAGACAACATCGCCAACACATTGAATAAAATCTCGTCTGGTGAACTTCCTCCACACACACACACACTTTATCGTCAGACGGAACATTCGCCTACCTTCTGCTTACCGTGGCGCTGGTATTAAGGGTGGAGGAGGTTTGAGGGTGACTTAGGCGTCGAGGTCGAGCTTCTGTGGATGGTGGAGGACGAGGTGTTTGAGGTGGAGTCTCTGTGACGAGAGGAGTATTTTACAGATGGGGGGGGGGAGGAGACAGTTCAGCAGCTCACCACCAGAGGGCCAAGGGGAGGGGGCGACAGTTCAGCAGCTCACCACCAGAGGGTCAAGGGGGAGGGGCATCACTTTAGCAGCTCACCACCAGAGGGCCAAGTCCCTTTCTAGGCGGGGGCGTTACGCGATGACAGTATTCATGCAGGAGAATTTGTCTGTGGGTCCCGCGGTGGTGAAGAAGGCGTTGTTGTCAGGGGCGGGAGGTGACCGTGTGTCTGTACCACCGCTGGAGTAGGAGAAGGCCGGGGAGTGGGACTTGGCCTTGAGGCGGAGCGAGGCGATGGAGGAGGACATGGAAGAGGTCTGATCACGGTAGACGTAGGGAGGCGTTGGGGCCGGGTAGGGGCAGGGGGCGGCACTAGACCCCAGAGACGATGACATACTCGTAGGCATCAAGTTAGCCGACCCACCCATACTCTGTGTAGGCGTCTGGAAGCAATTAATGGGCGACATGGCTGAGGGCTGTTGACTCATTAATGGGTTCATATTGACGCCATTAAACCCCCAAGTGAAGCTCTTTGCCCCCAGGGGAGGAGGTGTCACTTTAGCCCAGTTGTTGTAGGAGTAGCCGGAGTATAGACCATCGTCAGGCCAGGCTAGACCATTGAGCTGGGCGCCCCATCCACCCTTAAGGTCCCCTGGCATACCGGCGGTCATGGCGTGTCTCTCACGTTTCCGCCACTTAGCCCGACGATTCTTGAACCAGATCTGTGAGAGGGAGAACCACGCGTTAGTTGGGTCTCCTCTGACGTAGTTGGACACAGGTAGGACATGGGGGTAATTAGGCCCCATGTAGGAGATGTATAAATGGACATAGGCACAACACCGGGTACTTGGACACTGGTATAGGACATGGGTAAGTAGACACAAACGACACACACACACACACACACACACACACACACGTACACACACAGCGAAGTAACAGACAGACAGAGTTCAAGCTTGATGAATGCGTATCTCCATCATTGTGATTGCAGCTTAAGCGCTCATCCATCGTGTGTCTCCGCTAAGCTTACCAAACAAGCGTAAATCATGTAGGGAATACTGCGCCAACATTCTAAATACTGTCCACCACCTGCTGCCCACACACACACACACATAGTTATCTTAAGTAACGTAGGATATCGTAAATATTTCCCTTAACATATATCTAAACACGTAGAGATATCACCTAGCAACCATAACATGAAGTAAAGGGGATACTAATATAAACATCTTTTACCGTAGTATCTGTCGCATCCCTCAGAAAGTCATATACCATCGAGCACAAAGATAATCCCAGGAGTACCCATATATAAAGGTCAATAGGGTGTACTAATATAAACTTTATCTATCATACACTCAGTCGCACACCTTCAGAAACACTCAAGCACGTCTCAAAGTCCTTTACATAACACACAAACGCCATTCAGAGCCCCTTGGAGGGATTTTTAGGGGGCACTAATGTAAACTTATTCTACCATGCTATTTGTCGCACCCCATACACTTACCCTAACTTGGGCCTCCTTTAGGTTCAACCATAGGGCGATCTCCTCCCTGGCGCTGAGGTCAGGATATCTGTTGGAGAGATGAATGATATTAGTAACGAAATAGAGATATAGATAAAGCGAGAGAGAAATAGAGTGAGAGAGAGAGAGTGAGGAAGGGAGGGGAGGGAGGGAGGAGAAATGCGCGGGTATAAATCACTCGAGGAGATTAATTACTCCTACAGCCAAGGATCGAGTTCATTGCTAATTGTATTACTTCTTTTATTAGTATTATTTTCCTTCCTTGTGTCACTTTTCTTTCTCTGTTTTTTCTTTATTTATCGTATTTTTTATTAAAGGAGTTCTATGTATCTTTATCTTACTGGAGAAGTTAATGTATAGAAAAGAATGAACGAAAATATATGGTGACACTTGCTTGCTATTGGGTGGAGTTGTCATGGTCTCCTGAAGGTGAAACATAACCACCTGAGTTAAGAGGAGGGATAGTCACCTTAGTTACCTTGTTCCTGATGAAGGTGGCCTCTAGTAGGTGAAGCCAAGACTCACCTGTCACTGGCCTCTAACAGGTGAACTAAGACTGTTCCTAGCCCCCAGCAGGTGAAGTCAAGACTCACCTGTTCCTGGCGAAGGTGGCCTCCAGCTCCTGCAGCTGCTGAGAGGTGAAGTGAGTCCTTTGTCGTCGTTGTCGCTTCTTCTTGTTCTTGTCGTCGTCAGACTCTGTAGAACACGACTGTGAGGGCTTCTCCCCTCCGTCTGTAGTGAGAGAGAGTATGTTAGTATACTGTGGTGGCATACTGTGGTGGTATACTGTGGTGGTATACTGTGGTGGTATACTAGGAACTATGCCACTTGAGTATACCACCATGATATAACTTCATCCTCAAGTATACCCATAGCTCAACACACCACACCAATACACATTATACCACATACCTGAGTGTATACTGACAGGTTATACACACAGTATACTCAACCTTAATGGCTTATAACCAGAGGATACTTCATCATACTTACGATATATCTAAAATTAATAAAAATAAATAAAAATAAATAAAAATCGTTGATTTTTTTTAAATACTGAAAAAAATCGTAAAAAAAATACACGTTAAAAATAAGAAAATGAAAACAAAAATAATAATAAATAATGATAGAAATATATAATAATTAAATAAATATAACATAAATTAGCTCTTAAATGTAATCCATATAATTACACGTATAGGTAATTAATCCGTTAAAATAACTTAAATTAGTACTTACATGGGACCCCACTTATAAGATCCATTACTTATAAACGCTGGGAGTTCACTTTTGTTCACTGTTACTGAACTTAAAACACACTTAGTCACTTTATGTTCACAATATTCAATATACTGACTAAAGTTTTGTTTTATTATTTTCAAAGCTATGTAATAAACGTATCGCTAATTACTGCGATGTAACTATGCACTTATCCCAATCACTGCTATGTTACTGCACGTACGTTAATCACTGCTATGTAACTATGCACGTACGTTAATCACTGCTATGTAACTATGCACGTACGTTAATCACTGCTATGTAACTATGTACGTACGTTAATCACTGCTATGTAACTATGCACTTATTCCAATCACTGCTCTGTAATCAGCAACCAATCTCAAACACGGCTCTAGCAGGGGTTAACCACATCGTAAATCACTGCTATGTAATATTCCACACTCGCTTGTCTTACATCGCCTCCAGCCAGCTGCTATACCGTACAAGTTACATCGCTCTTGTAAACACAGATGATCAATGTTGTTTTGGGGGATCAGGACGGGACAATGTTGATGAGAGTGTATACGGACCACAGCAAGAGTAGCACAGCATCTAGCACAGCAGTTGGGGTTATGTTCGTGGTTGTGGTAGTTTACAGCAGTTTACAGCATCAGTACAGCAGCAGTTTACAGAAGAGTAGTTCAGATTACAGCAGTTTACAGCATCAACCACAGCCGCAGTTTACAGGAGTTCACATTAGTGTCCTAGTTCAGTTTACAGCATCGAGCACAGCAACAGTTTACAGGCGAATCACAGCACTTGGTTTACCCTCGAATCTCAGTTAGTTTTAGGGCAGTTCACAGCAATTTCAACAGCAGGGGGGTGAGGGACAGCGTGACGTTGTGTCCTGCGTCTAGCGTGACTGTTTGACCAACTGAGGTGACCTGTGTGTGTGTGACCTGTGTGTCTGTCTGACCTCCATCAACCCCCCGGGCCCTCCTACTTCTGCTACCAGTACCACTATCATCATCACTTCCCCCGCTACCACTACTACCACCACTACTTCCCCTACTACTACCAACATCACCACCCCTTACCCCTACTACCACTCCCCCTCTAACACCCTCCTTCACCACATTCTCCACCACAACCTCCCAATATCACCCCCATTCCTCCTACACTTCCCCACCCATCCTTCCTCCAACACGTGCACCACCACCACCACCACCCTTCACCAACAACAGGCCAGTAGCATCACCACCATTACCTTGCTCCACTCCCCCACCCTCCACCACCACCTCCACCCATCACCATTACCACCACCACCACCCATCACCCCACCACCATCACCCCCTACCCCCATCACCCCCTACCCCCATCACCCCCTACCCCACCCCACCCCATCACCCCCTACCCCATCACCCCCACCACCCACCACAAGCAGGTCAGCACCATTACCATTCACTAAGGAACCAACACCACTGACAAATTACCCCCAATAACCGTTCCCAAGGGCATGATAGGTCAGTTGCCCGCCCCTCGTACCTCAGAGGTCAGGGCAGGTCACATCACATGAACCCTCGCCGTCTCACATAAACCTGCTACCTTGTTAATTACCTGGTCATCCTTAATTGCTTTCGAGCCTACCTGGAACTTACTTACCTGTCCGGTCCGTGGGTGCTAAAATGGTTTAGTCTGGTGTTTGGGTGTGTTGAGAGAGAGGTCATGACCCCTACCTTCCTCCTCTTCCTCCTCCTTCCCCACCTCCCCTTCCCCCTCTACCAGGTCACGACTCCTCCCCCCACCCTAATCATTCCTCGCCCTGTTGCAAAGCCGCAGGTCAGCTGTTTGTCTACCAACCTGAATGCCCTTGTCTCAACCTCTCGTTAGTGGGGGCCAGACATTGTTCTCCTGTGTGTGTGTGAGAGAGAGAGAGAGAGTGGAAGGAGGAAGAGAGAGAGGGAGTAGGTGGAAAGAGAGAGAGAGAGAGAGAGAGTATAGGTGAAAAGAGAGAGGGAGAGGAGGGTTTACTGTCTCTCTCTCTCTCTTCTCGTTTATTCTTATATTTGTATTTCCTCTCTATTTCCTCTTCCTTGTGTCCTTCCTTCTTTCCCTCCCTCCCTCCCTTCCTTCTTTATTCCCTTCCTCCCCCACGCTATTAACCCCCCCCTTCCTCCCTCCTTCCTCCTTCCCATCCTCACAAGAAATCTCCCAAGCTATTAACTTCCTCTCTTCCTCCCTCCCTCCCTCCCTCCCTCCCTCCCTCCCTCCTCCTCCTCTCTCCTCCCTCACTAACGATCACCTCGATATAGTGGACTCCTAAGTTAGGGAAACGTGACAGCTTCTCCACCACCCCCAAGACAACACTTAAACCCTCAGCATAGATAAATCGGTGGAAAATGCACCTTTAATGTATCTCAAACTAGGGACTGGACTTGATACCGACCCCTTTAAATCCAGGAGCTGTCGTCCCTCTCCTAAATCTGGCCTAAACGACACGATCCGCACCTAAATCTTGGAGGTAAACAGGGCGTGGGAGGGGTGATGCCGCGTCAACCAACCACCATCGTCCTCTTGGAACACTAACCAACCTGTAGTCCTTCTCGAGTTGTGCATCTCTTTACCTCCGGGAATTATTTTATCGTTTGTCTGTCTGTTGTGTCTGTCTGTTTGTTGTTTATGTCTCTTTCCTGTAGTGTATCAAGAGAGGATGGTGTTGTGATTAAACCTGTTGAGAGTGAATCATTTTATTGTTTTGGGGGTCTTCTTTGTGGTGTAACCGACCGCGAGATGGTCTTCCTTGGATGCTAAACGATCTGTGTGCTTAGTTCTGGCGTTATTCATTTGTTTTCACTTATATTTTATCTACATCTCGTCTCTCTATCGTATTTTTAAGTCACTCATATACTCTCAGATAAAATAGAAACTGTTTAATTGTTTTCTGGGAGTGAATCATTTTCTCCTTGTGTTTTTCTTTGTATTTTAACCGACCGAGTCTCTTTGTACTTTCAATCAGGTTTACACTAAATGTTTTATGGCTCTTTCTTCTCGCGTGCAATTAATTCTTCGCCCAAGTTGATACCAAAGACAAAAATATCTCTCGTTTAAGTGGATCCAGATGGAGTGAATCATTACCTCGTTGTGGTTCATCTCTGTGGTGTAACCGACCGCATCATCATCATCACCGCCATCTTGGGGTACGAGTTCATCTGTAGACAATACCTTTGTTTATATCTGTTTACATCCGGGACTGTATCACCATTTCGTCTGTTTGCTATTGTTTATACGAATCTTGAATGAATAAATATTGAAATTACCTCATAATTAAAGTTAGAAACGCAACCACATCCTAACCATTGCCATCTTAATGTTACAACCGATTGACACCTCCCGGGCAATAACTCTTAAGCATTTTCACGACCCTTAGCGAATCAGTATCACCAAATATACCTTTTATAAACAACTTTCATGGATAATTAACGCGTATTATAGTATCGGCACGAGAGTAAACCATCGGCATTAGTTAAATCATATCGGGGATTATCGGCGAGAGAGAGGTGAGGTCATGGGTGAGTTTTGTAGTGTAACCGACCGCGTGATCCATTCTGAGCGGCGAGTCTTAATGGCCTCGTGTCTTTTATCTTTCACGGGTTAATGTTGCTGGTGTATTATTATTAATTTGTATTACGTGATGATTTACTTAACCCTTTGATTTAGCCCCTTGTGTATGATGATTTAACCCCTTGAGTATGATGATTTAACCCTTTGAGTACCATAACATGACCTTTTGTTAGGTTAGGTTAGCATTAATTACCTTGTGGCTAAATCACAGGTGGGAATGAATCAAGTCTTTGCTGTTGTCAAATTTTGTGTTATAACCGACCTTCACCTATAAGTGTATCTATTTTATAAGTTAATTTAATAAGTTCGATGCTCACCTGTTAAGTGAATCCATTTTATAAGTTCATTTAATAAGTTCGATGTTCACCTGTTAAGTGTATCCATTTTATAAGTTGATTTTAGTAAGTAATTCTTTTATTTCACTTAGAATACTTATATTTTAATGTTTTAATTATTGGAACTAGTAGCAAAAATATTCAGTTGGGGTGAATTAAATCTTTCCCCGTCATGGTGTTTGTGGTGTAGCCGCCCTGTGCCTTAATCCTGACCCTTCTGTGTGCCTTCCTTCCTTCCTTCCTTCCTTCTTCCCGACCCTCCTTCCTTCCTTCCCCTCCTTCCCCTCCCTTCTTCCCCTCCTCCCCTCTTTACTACCCTCTCCCTCCTACCCCTCCTCATCCCCTCCAAGAGACACACGTCGTGGAGGGGGAGGGGGAGGGGGAGGGGGAGGGGGAGGGGGATTAAGGTGACATCTGGCGAGGGATGTGTGAAGCTCTGTACCACAATGGCTGCCGTTGACCTTCGTGGTCCTGTTTATAAGACCTTCATCCTGTACACGTGTTTGACCTCATGCTGCGGTGTACATGTGTCGGGGTGTACATGTGTTGGTGTGTATG